AGGCCCTGTGTAGGAGCTAGGGAACCGTCTAAATTGTAAAGGCAGCAGTGGGATTGGTGTTTGAGGGCGCCAGCGTTACTGGGAACGGGTGATGGATGTGGTGCTGTGCCTGGCAAACGGCACCCACTCTGGGCATGAGGGCCTGCGGCCTTTCGGGGGGCTGCTGGGGAGGGCGCAGGTGTGAGGGAGTGCTCGTGAAAGCGAGCCTTACTGGAAACATAGGACAGACTTGGGAAATCCAGGTTCTTCCCCTAGATTTGCACTTAAGTTTTGTTAGTGTGGGTATTACAACTGCAATTTCTGTCTCCCAAGAAGAAATTTAACTATTAATTCACAAGTGGATGTGAAGTGTTTTGAGATGATAGATAACAGACTTGTAGGAGTGAAAAAGTATTATCTCAGCCTTCAAAAAGCTTGGTTCAGCATTTTACCTTAGGTACTAGTTTCTGAAGTGATTTGACTATCCTTAGTCACCTCAGATTATGGCTCCACATTTTAATACCAGACACTAGTTATTTCCATACTACCATAACACTCATGATGTGTGCTCCTTTTTGCTGAACTAGTGAAATTCATATACCTGATTACAGTAATGATGGGCATTTATAAAATCTTAAATAAATAGAGCTGTCTGAACATTTCTAATTGAGTTCTCTTAAAGGCTGCCCAGAACTCATCATGACCGCTTTCAGGCAGCCTGCCCCGTTTAATATTTCTTCCTTGGACCGTCATCTGTAAACCACTTTCTTTATTCTTAGGCTCATCCTGTTGCTTTCAGGGTGGCGTTTGCTGCCCAGCCTCTTTAATTCTAGGAAGAGGTGTGCTATCTTTTCCATACCATCCGGTTTTTGTATGCAGGGCAAAAAGAGAGGGAACATGGCCAGGAGGGGCAATGGAGAGAGATTGTTCCTCCCTTGCTTCCTTGTTGGGCCAGAAGCTGGGTTGGCCATGGTGGGTGGGAGTGGAAGAAGTGTGTGCCTAGAGAAACACAGGCCATGTGGCTCTGGAAATGGGGTGCAGGAGCAGGGCATGCTGCAGGCAGGTTGCAACAGGCACTTTGGGAACTGGTTGTGATTCTACAAGCTGGTTTGACTGGCCCACATGGAGTATTCCCCCAGCATGAACTTGATTGTAGGTGAGCTTTCACTCCAGGAGAATCTTTTGTCATCTTTCAATGTTCATTATCACCAGTTTGCTTTTCCCCCATATTAGGTAGCCTCTATCCCATATAAAATTCCATGTCTTTGTTGGACAAGAAGGTTGACTTACTGAGCAGGCTATATTTGGCTTTTGCACTGCATGTAGTGCTTGTGAAAGAAGTATGTTGACCACAGCCACTGGCATCAAACAGTGGTCTTACTTATATTGAAGTTTTTATATTTCAAAGTAGACCTGGCATTGTCCCAAGGACTCTGCTATTTCTTTCTCAGCTACCAATTCCTTTTTAAATTTGGGCATTCTGCTTTGGCTCCCAGTACTGGTTTCCTCCTGTGAAAAACAGTTGTCTATTTTTCCTACAAGCCACCTTCAGGTGTCTAGCGAGGTGTCTGCCCAAGTGAATCTGGAAAGAGCCTGGGCTCTGAAGCCAGGGTGAAGCACACTGTGGGTAGCACATGCAGAGAGGCACCCCTGTCTCCAGCCTTCCTACCCCACCTGAGAGGACCTTTTAGGACCACTCAAGCACATTTGATGTACTCTTTAATGGGACAGCACCCCAATACCTTCATTTTAAAATACTATATAAGAAAGAAGGAAAAAGACTCCTTGAGTGCCAGTCTTAGGCTTCATAACCTCCGTAGAAAGCCTGGCCACATTCATATTATTTCAATATATAAGGATTTCCTAGTTCCTCCCTGTCTGAAGCCCCTTTGCTTCCATGACTGATTACCAAAACTCCAGGGAAGCTTCTTTCTGCAAAGGGAAAACTTTGGAGCAGGCTGTGGGCCACTTCCAGGTAGCCCTCGGGGGCTCAGCAGCGGGGCTCAGGGGAGGTGTGGTGTCCCTCCTGAGGCTCTGCAGCACACCTGCGCTGCTCTGACTCTTTTTAAAAGGCCCACTGGCGGCTGTGCCACCTCCTTTGGAGGCTGCAGGATTATTCAATCATTACAGCAGCAGGAGAATAAGCCATAGGATTTCCTTTTGAAGCAGGAACATGTAAAACAGGGAGGGGTCCTGGAAAGAAGAGGCACACTCTAAAGGTATGTTGCTTACTAGAGAAGAAAAAAAATCCAGAACCATGATTTCTCTGCTGGCTTAGTCACTCTGCTGAACAGAGCGGTTAGACCTTTCTGTGAGCTGCTGGAGGCTCTTAGCTGCCATCTATCCAGCTCCCCAAATGTTGCTATACAAGTTGTGCTACGGAGCCACATCGGTGATAATAAAGCCTTCCCTCTGCTCTCCAGAGCTGGTGTGGTTGCCAGGGTGCGTGGGTGCTGCCCCTGCCCATGGGTGAGCCTATGCCAGCGGGGATGCCGAGGGCACTCCAGCTCCGCAGGCAAGGGCTTAGGCCACGGGTCTGCTGGGACTATTTTTAGTAGCAGTCTGGCAAATTTAGGGAGAAGGCAGTTTATTGTCATACCTTGAGAGTTAACATGTAACTCCTACCACCTCATCGATATTTTTTGGATCTTCAGAGCAAATTTATCTTTTAAGTCTGAGAAAGGGTATCATAATAATGTAAGTTCCATGTAGGCGTGTATTTTTATTTCTTGTATACCTAAATACTTTGCTGTTGTTTTTTTCTGGTTATTCTTCTTTTCCCTAGACACAAATTTTATGTTGATTCGCAAAAATCTGCACTTGTAAATTAACTGCTTTAGCACCAGTTCTGTGGGTTTGTGTTTCTACTGAATTTAGTCTTATTTTTGCATTATTATTACTCAGATCCAAAGCAGGTATCTTGCTAGCTTAACTAGCTCTGCTTTGCTGACTAACTCCACCTGCAGCACCTCTTACCTCATTCCAGGGTAGCTTAAGCCACAGGGCTACTTCCTATCTCTTACTAGAAATGCTTTTATCTCAGCACTAGCAACCTGTACCAGCAGTCTCCAAGAGACCTATCTAAACAAATTCTCATGGAATAGTTGTGGCTGTACCCTCTCTCTGTCTCTTCCTGGCCAGACCTCGCTGCAGGGGAAGGAACACAGATTTTTATCTGAAGTGATTGTGCTTCCATATGTGGGGCTTCCCCAGCAGGAAGACCTCTACCCCACTGACAGCAGGGAAAATTGCCATGTTGATTTAAATGTTTCAACAACCGTTTAAAAAATGTTTCCAGCAATACAGGGAAATACCAGGGCCTTTTCAGTTTACAGGCATGTCAATATTCTGGATCCTGGTCAACTGGTGTATAAATAGGCACCGTGCATAAATCCCAGTGGAACATCCTTTGCATTTGAGAAGTTAAAATTATTTTTCCCTCCAAGGAGTTAAGAGATAGGCATTTTAAATTCCTTCTTTTCATGATCTTTGTAGAAGTGGAGGAGTCTATTAAGTTACAGGATCTTTGAAAGGGACACCAATAATCAAGTCAGTGCTCAATGGAACAAGGTTTTTCCCACAAATCATGACTGATATCTGTGTCATTAGTAGGGTAGCTGCCCATCTCTTATCATGATTGACAGGTTAATAAGGGACCTGGGGCTATCTTTTCACTGCTAGCACACAACCTAACCAATTGCTTTTAAATGATTGCTAATTTGACAGAAAATAAGCAGAAGACATAAAAATATCTGGAGTAATGTCTAGTGCAGCTTTTACTCCTGGTATTCCGAGCAATCCCATTTTAGAAAACAGATTAGAATGTAGTTAAGAGATTTTTTTTTTTTTTTAGATACTCGGTTTTTTTTTTTAAAAAACTTGTAGTTGTTCTTTGGTTCAATTAGGAGCAAAAGAGAAGGGAGTTTTGTAATGCAATTGTCCTGTAAAGGAAAATGTTTTAAATTGGGGAGATTATGTGAACAGACCACCTGTAGGGCATTCATAGCTCTTTTCTATAATGCTCCAAGCCATGCCTTGCTGCCTGCAGTCTGGCTAACAATGCAGGGAAAAGCTGTTTAAAAGGCTGTTCTCCCTTTTCCCTCTGGTGTTCACTAACTGTTACAAGTCTTCCTCTTAAAATAAAAAAAAAAAAAAAAAAAAAAAAAAAGTCCCACGTCCCTTTAATTGAAGAACTTTAAGGCTCCATGGTGGCCAATTGGTCTGCAACAAGAGGAACCAGGCAGCAGGGAAAGAAACTTCAGACTATACATCACGTTTGGTGAAGAGAAAAGATCAAAGTTTTCCCAAACTCAAAAGAAACCAAGTTCCCTACAGATTAACCCTATTCATTTAGCTCCTCTTAAAGGAATGATGTTCTGAGCCACTGGGCAGACAGGTAAAAAGTTCAACAATTGCCAAAGCATTCTTCTGTTAATTCAGCAGCCTTCTGCTCAAATAAATTAGCTTAGTCCTGACAGAAGAACAATACCTCTTCTCTTGAAAAAGGACCATATTTGATATACAAAAGTTAAGATGTTAGTTTAATCTGTTAAGAAGAGATTGATCTAACAAATCTCAACTCGCTGTTTGTGAACTAAGAATTTAAAACACTAACCTTTTACACTTCAGTATGCATCTCCGGAAAAGCAGGTGCTTACAGAATCTAGGAGAGGTGTGTGTGTGTGTGTGCACATTCCTAAAATAACACCCATCTTAAAAGGACACTTAACGTGCCATGTGAGAGGACTCTTTTGTAGAGGCTCAGTTTAAAGACACTGGCCTCTTGCAAAAAGCAGAGGAGAATCTCCTACGGTAAGGCGCCTCGCCTCACAGTTTTGGCAAACACTTTTTCTGAACAACTTGTTGAATGACTCGTTTTCCTTGTGTCTCTGTACAGCGCTGCTTTAACGGAGGCAGCCATCTATTATACAGTAATGACTGTAGTTCACGGCTTACAGAATCACCTAAAGACACGGCAGCTGGAATAACCAGGGCAGGAGTAGGGGGAAAGCTTGAAAAAGTCACTTATCAAAAGTCATTTTATTGACAAAATAGAATACTCATATTTGCTCTTACAGGGGTAGCCTCTAAACTTTTTTACAAAAAAAATTTACAGACTGTATATCTTTGGATATATACATATTTTACACATCTGTACAAGGTAACAAATAATTATATAAATACATCCTTTAATGTAGTAAACCCGTATTTAGCTGGGGTGTATAATTAAGACATGTTTTGATTCAGTTTGTACTGTAAGGCATTTGCCTGGTCACCGGTATCCCAAAAACCTTGCAGTCCTGGCAGGCTCCCACCTCGGGCTGAGGGGAGGAAGACCCTCCCCCTCCCACGAGGGAAGAGATGCTGTTAGTCCAGCGTGAATCAGAAGCCGCTGCGCCTTGCCCTCTGCAAGACAGGGGTGAGCCTCCACCCTCCTCTGCCAGCAAAATAATAAGCTGGCTCCTTGAAGTACATGCTCCCTGCATATGAATGGCGGGGAAGGAGGAGGGGGCTGGAGCCTGGGGCCTCTGCCAGCTGCATTGTTCTATACAAGCTGTGGCTAATAAGGACCATTAGGGGTTCATTAATGGCACCAAACAGTGAGGGGGCATTTTAGGCAGGCCAGTGTCCCTCTCATTCCCTAACCTTTGGCCTCTCTCCCCCTCCTCACACTTGAGACAGGGGCATCTGCTTGGGGTAGGAGACGGAGCTGGCAGTGCCCGACCTCCACGTGAGGCCAGTGCTGACATCGCTGTAGAGGGAGCCACCGCCTCCGGCCCCAAGTCCTCCTGTGGCAGCGATGGCCGCCTGCCCGCCTGCTCCTGCCCCCGTGCCCCCAGCCACGGCAGCACCTTTGCTGGCCCAGCAGCAGCGGGTGCAGAGGGCCCTCCAGGACTCGAGGGTCTTGCCAGACCAGACCCAGACGCCAGAGGTGATGCCCACCACCAGGCACATGAAGTACTTGAGCATGAAAACGGCGTAGTCCGGACGGCGGGCCTGGTCAGGCTGCTGGTCGCGCAGGCAGGGGCAGTTGTGCGTGGCCTCCCAGCGGGGCCGGTTGTGCTGCTCGTAGAAGAGGCAGGCGACCACGCTGGCCGCTGGCACGGTGTAGAGCACGGTGAAGAGCCCCAGGCGTATCATCAGCTTCTCCAGCTTGTGGGTCTTGGTGGGGCCACCCTGCTGCTTGATGACGCTGCGGATGCGGAAGAGTGAGACGAAGCCAGCGAGCAGGAACATGGAGCCGATGGCCAGGTAGATGAGCAGCGGTGCCAGCACGAAGCCCCGCAAGTTCTCCAGGCTCTGGTTGCCCACGTAGCAGATGCCGGCCACGGGGTCACCGTCCACGGAGCTGAGCGCCAGCACGGCGAAGGACTTGACGCTGGGGAGCAGCCAGGCAGCCAGGTGGAAGTACTGGGCGTAGCCGGCGATGGCCTCGTTGCCCCACTTCATGCCGGCGGCCAGGAACCAGGTGAGGGAGAGGATGACCCACCAGATGGAGCTGGCCATGCCGAAGAAATAGACGAGCAGGAAGACCACGGTGCAGAGCGCGGGGCCGGTGCTCTCGTACCGCACGTGCTCGGCCC